ATTTAATAATAATAAACATTTTCAAAAAGTGTTCAATTAATTTGATAATACCTGCATGGCAGTTTAATACTGTGTGTCGAATTACCGAGACTACTGCAGTAATAATAGTCATTTCTGTTTTCAGTTGAAGAAGACTGGAGACAAAGACGTACACTATCATTATTTTTGTAACTCATTTAGTCATTTCACATTTGTAATAATCTGTGTGCCTCGGTACTCATGTTATTATTGCCTCAATGATATTGCACGAGGAGTAGGTACAACGCGAGCCGAGTTGACGAAACGAATTTTCGATGAATTCGTGGTACCTACATAAATACATAACATTATCATACCTAATTTTTGCTGCACCGATATAATATCAATGGAGGATTCCTACCTACCTACCTATATTTGCTTACATCGTTGACTACGCCACGCAACTATACAATAGCGTTTCTTGGGTGTACCGACCGTACCGTATAGGTACGTAGGTAAAGAAAAAACAATATTACTGTATGTGCCTAACATGTACATAAGTCATGCATAATATAGATACCTCATACCTACACGGCGACGATAACATATAGATCTCGAAAACGAATTAAGTGAAAGTATTATATAGGTACGCGCTCGTCACGTCTATAGGAAATTCAACGCTGTGTCTCGAACGCGAGTGGCGTAAACATACCACAGAACCGATTGCATTTAAATTATTATTAACGTCGGATGGTTATTTTATCTTCAAGACAATTACATCCAAGGATTCTAATGTCAAAGAAATTACTTTTTTCCCGTAATGCCACGCACGTTATAAAAAAATTATTTAGGTATGTTATACTTTGTATATTCTTTTAATCTATTCATCTATATTAAAATATGTTACTCGCAATTATGATGGAATATCGAGCAGGGACGCAGTGTATAATATGATTGATTGTAATAAGGCACTGTTATTGGGGATATATTTTTTGCGTTGTTAGAAATACTTTTTTGCTTCAAAACGAAAAATTGTTTATTTTAATAATTTATTAATTCAATATTTTGCAATTTTGCATAGACACATTTTTTCGATAACGCCATTTACCTAATTTATAAAAAAATATCATCTTTAAAAAATTATTATAACATTCATATTTTCTAAGTTAACCATAATATAGCAAGGACAAAAAACTAATTTTAAATATTGCATGTAAATATGTGACGTTAGGTATAAATCTGACAAGTGTACTTCCGGCTAATATTAAAACTAAAATTAACTTCCATTGTATAAAAATTACTTGCAGGTTTAGACAATAATTTAAATTTTAAAAAATAGTATTTCTTAATAATTAATGGGCAAGTGGGTGCCGCTCATCTGTACAGTAAGTGTCGAGTGGGTTGCTGTCATATATGTACTCAATTTGAATTCAATGATATATCATTAATGTATATGAAAAACAAATCTAAGCGGAAACCGTAGCCTATACTAAGTATAATATTTCATGATTCCTATTTTTTGATATAGCTATTAAAGTAATATATTTTACTAGTAATACGTTCTATACTATTACATTGGCTGATTTAATTATTATAATAGTGTATATTTACATAGTATTATATTATTATTGTTATTACATTTTGAATCAATACCTACACTTTACCCTAAACAGTTTAGATAAGTTCATGGTATAAATAGGTAATAACTTAAAGGCTTAAAATAAATCCAAACATTTTGAAATTATCATTACTCATTAGTCATTACGTATCGTAAAATGTACAATACAAGTACATGGAGGCTTTAACCCCTACAGATAATATTTTTGAATAACAACAAAATGACTAGCATCGTTATACTTTCATCTTTGTTTAAATGTATATTTTTCAAAATTTTATAATATTCAGTCATACTGCTGTCTTGATGTATATCAAGTTTAAAATTATACATAGGTACATAAAATAAGTTAAACTAATAAAAATAACTGATTTTGGTATTTTAAGATTATGTTTCAAGTTGGGGACTCTTAAATTTTTTTAAACTGTTTGCCAATGCTTATCTACCAATTTACCAAAATAAAAAATGTTATGTCTAATAAAAAATTTAGTACAAAATAATAAATAAAAAAAAAATATGTAGCTATAGGTACAAAAACCCTTGGAATAAACCCTGATTGGCCAATGTGATTATTGAAACTATAGTACATAAATAATCGTTTCACTTTAACTGACATGATCATCATAATAATTTACTGGTATTACTGATAAAATTAACGTAGGTATGCCCAAATTTAACTCTAGAACAATAATACCGAGCATAATATAGAAATATTTTTATATTTTTAAACTTTCACTTTCAAGGTTCCAATAACAATACATTTTATGTATATTGGTATAAGCTTAGTTTTTAAGCACACTCACCCCTTTTATATATAAATTACCCACTATAGCCGATGGCTGCCAAATTTTTACCACAGCCTATGTGACCGTCGTTCCGCTGTATGTACGACGGTTTATGCTAAGCCGAGTTTCCAATATATATATTACTATTTCGTGCTGTGTTTAGCAATTTTTGTTACCTATACGAATTAAATACGTGAGACTTAACATAACTTAGAGAAACTAGAAAACAAGTCCAATATACACAATGTAACTACATGTATATTGTGTACCTACTATGTGTATTATTGAGGTTAATCGTAATTTTATACTTGGTGGCCCACTCAAAGTCGAAGATAATTGTTTACTAAAGTGGCCCACCGAGGAAATAAGTTGGGCATCACTGAGTTCGAAGAAATTAAATGATAAGTTAAATAATAATAAAATTACCTACCTACCTCGTAAAGTATAGTTTTATATACCAATGCATATAATTATGTAGATTTATAGTCAATTTTACAGTTTTGGTTTTTCAAAAAATATATGCTAAATACATGGCAATATACAATAAGTACCTATGTAAAATGTAACTATAAGCATATAAATGTTAGTAAATTAACGAAAAAAACAACCAATATAATTATTAAGTTAAGTCAACGTTAAGAACTTTAAGTTATTCGCTGATAGTTAAAAACAACTTTAAAATTTTTAATTTAATAAGCAGAAAAATACTAACTTCACTCAGTTAAAAATAGTTAATAATTTGTATTAATTTTCAATTGACATCTGGATCACACACATAGTGAACTTTCATTTTTTTTTTAATAATAACCAATAATTTGTTAAAAAATAAAAATCCATCTTACTAATAATTCTTATCTCACACAAGTCGCTAGCTCTGGGGTATTATAGCCGTATGGGCATACTACTAGGAAATATCACATGTATATAATATTATGTTTAACTAAATTAATAAATCAAGAAATATTTATTTGTTTTATTTTATTTTAAACTATTGTATTCAGTGTGATTAGACAACTAAAAATAGTTTTAATTGCAATTATCGATAAGAATAAACACAATTTAATCTAAGTGAATTATTTTTTTAATTTCCCAAAAAAAAGCTTATTAAAAAAGTTATGACAGTGGATAGTCGGATAGGTACTATAACTAGTTTAGTTAATTAGAAAATTAACTAACCAATAAAGTTCAAATTTTCTTTTTAACTTGTATCGATTGTACCAGTAGTACAAGCTAAAAGGTTCTATGAAAAATGGTTTCCACTTCATAACAATGAACATTTTCAATAAGAACTCGGAACTACGTATATGATATAAAAAATAATATTGTAGGACGTTCACCTAACATTGTAAGTCGTAACTTTTAGTAATATAGTGTCACTATAAGCAAAAGATAGCTAAATATTAATATTTTAAATCTGAAAAAAATAATAAACTATGTCATATTTGCAAAATGGCCCAGACCGAACTCGGCATTGACTAAATTGCAAGTCATAATTCACATTTTAAGTACTTGGAGAAGTCATGATAAAAAACTTTGGATTAAATTTTGACTATGAATATTATTTGTATGTTCTAATAATTAATCAAGCGTGAGTATCGTTAAATTCAACATTTAGATAATTTATGAATAAAAAAAACAATATAATATGTTTTAAATATAGTCGCATCGCATTCAAAGCTACGAAAAACATCTAAATACTATCCTAAGCCTTATTATTTCTGCTTAAGCTCTTAATATTTTAGTCCAAAATTAAAGATGCTATACAAATGGATTAAATATTAAAATAATTGTATTGAAATTAAAATCGGTAGGTAATATTTTTCACAAATTTTTGTAAATGCATTTCGAAAAATAAAGTGATAGTATATTGGGTTAAAATGGTTCATTTAAAGAGTGAAAATATACTAGTTGTAAATATAAACAATTATTATATTAAAGAAATTATATTTTCCAGTATTGCTCTAAGAATTTAAAACTAAAAATATTATCATAAATACTTTGTTTTTCGATATTTAATCAATACACAATTTAAATTTTTTGAATTTTTAATTTCATGCCCAAAAACAAAATAAAATATAGTAACAAAATAGTTTAACTTAAAATTATTATTTAATTTAGGCACATGTAATAAGTAATAACAGAAGTCAAGCAATCTAAAAAACGTATCTTGTAAGTATAATAGCATAGGTACTGTAATGTTTATATGATTTATTAATTTATATATTTTAATTTTTAACAAGCTAAATTGAATATTTTCTTAGCTATAATTTTTTCATTTTAGTTTTTTTCTTACATATATCTAACTCAAAAACTGTACCTACCAATTCAAGTTGTACTAAAATATACTAAATTAAATCTAATAAATAAAAATGTATGATGTTAAATTATAATGTCGGTTTTTATCCCTTATGCTAAAAAAAAATACACACATTTTATAACATTAACAATAAATGGTTTTTAATCATTTACTCGCCTAACTAATAATTATTGCCTATTGGCAACTCTATTCATAATTGAATAACTAAACTCCTCATTAAATCTGTATCATATTTACATATAATTATTGTATATACTTATGTATAATTTATTGTGTGGATATCCTGATGTTAAACAATTAATAACTATAAAAAATATGCACTTACCGTCGTAAGTTTCTTTTGTATGGTTGACATCTGGGCAGTGCTGTCGTGAATATGAACTTGGTCAGGTCTGATCTCCACACAATCGTCTAAAATATAGTTAACACAATAAATTTTTTGTATATGGTTATGTCAAAAAGTGGGAAAATATTACCTGAATCGGTATCTGGTGGTGTTGTTGGTGCTGCAGGTGGAGGTTCTTCGTTTCCTAGTAGATCATCAATATTCCGACAACCTCCAATAAATAACATTAACTGGTCCAGCTCATCTTGCAAGTTTGGTTCTTTTTGAACTTTATTGATAGGTATTTCTGCAATTTCATTTACAACATTCTCAATTTTCTTTATTCGAAGAGAAGTTTTTTTGGTTCTAACGAAATCATCGCTTTGATTTTTTTCTCCCCACCAATCAGGACTACTATCAGCTAATTCTTCTATTTGTTTTGAATTTGAACTAACTGCATCACCACTACTAGTTTGTTTAGGCTCATTACTTTGAGATTCTGATTCTTCGCTTGCTAGCCAAGATGGGCTATCAAATGAATCCATTTTTCTAACACCAGTCATGATTTTTATAGGACCATCTGTCGCAGTATTTGTATGTTGATCAAATGATTCGGGGACGTTCCGTGACCAATCAGTTGAAATGCTTGTACTTCTTGCATCTGTATTTTTTATAATATCTTCTTTCCACCAATCAATTGAATCTGATTCCTTCGTTGATGCATAGTAATTATTATCAGACAGTTCTATATTTGAATTGTCATTTAAATTAGGCAAATCGGTTTCCAACTGAGATTCGTGGCCATTTTCAAACCACCACTGATTTTCACGTGGATTAATATTTACTTCATTTTCAGAATTAAATGGAAATGATTCATTGGAATTTTCTTCGGCACTTTGGTTTTTCATTGAAATATCACTTAACGAATTTACTTGTTTAGCCTCATCTCCTGATAACCACCATGGACTATCAAATGAATCCATTTTTCTGATTCCATATGATACAGTCATTTCTGGACTTTTTGTTTGAGAATGGTCACTTTTTCTAAGCTCTATTATATTTGAACTTAATTTGGATTCATCACTTGCGCATGAACTTTTTTCTTCTGTTAACCACCATGGCGAATCAAATGAATCCATTTTTCTAACTCCATATGTTTCATTTTTAGTCGATAAAGAATGACTGGTATGTGTATCTGGATTTGAAACACTATCAATGTATAATATAGAGCCCTGAGTTTCAATATCTTTCAAGCATGGGCTTTCAATCATTGATTCTATTTTTTTAATATTATACGTAGGACTTAGGCTTGATTGAGTATTAATACATTCGACATTTGAAATACTATGAGCACATGGTTTTGGTTTTTCATTTATTAAATCTTCTTGGACTGCTTCTTTCAACCATAGATTTCTATCAGACGAATCGATTTTTCTAATTCCATATGAATGACTTTTGTTTGATGTGGAGTTACTCTTTGTCGATTCTGAATTAGAAATACTTTCCGTACTCGACAAAGGCACATCATTATTATCAGCTTGTTCAGCTTCTTGTAACCATCGATTTCTGTCTGAAGAATCCATTTTCCTTATATTATATGAAGGGATTTTAGTTAGTGTGTTGTTCATATTTAAATCAAAATCTGTACTTGCACATACATTTGGTTCTTCGTTATTATTTTCCGAATCTTGTAACCACCAGGCTTGATCGGAAGAATCCATTTTTCTTAATGGATATTGTAGTTTAGGTGCTTCGGATATAACTGCAATGCCAGAAATTGGTGCAATACTTCTAATTGTAACTAATTTAGGTTCTTCGATTTTTCTACCCGTTGGTGGTTTTTCTTCCGCTGTACTGGAAAGCGACGGAGAGCGACTAATGCCAGATTCTTCTCGATTTTTTTCCATAGTTCTATTTCTATTCCAGTTTGGTTGAGGTAATTTTGATGTCTCTGCGCCACTTGAACGACTTTTACTATGGCTAGACGAGTCAGAAAGATACGAATCTTGTTCTTGACCTTAAAAAATTGAAACTATTATGTTTTATTTTTTTAAATAAATAAAAAATAACGTACCTGAATTATCACTAGTTGATCCAGAGTCTTTAGATTTCGAATAATTATAGCCTGACCTACTACCAACATACCTAGGTATAGGAATTGAAGATACTACTTTTAAACTAGGCATATTCCGGAGGAATCTTTCGTCGGTTTGTAAATTGACATCCACTCCTCTTTCATATTTTCGTGGTACCATTAACATAGTAAATTCTTGTTGCCCAGCATGCTTACTTCGTAGAAATGTACTATGAGCAGGAGGTGTAGGTGACGTACTCCGAGTGACTACCGATACCATAATATCAGCTGGAGTATCTGCTTCTATATCTGGTACATTGCATACTCCGAAAACTGTTACAGATTGTTCCTTGATCGGACTCCGAACAATCGGCGCACCAAAGCGGCTAGCACTTCCAGTTCTCAGAGTAGGTTTGTTACCAAAACCAGATGACGCCACTCTCATCCTTTTATCAGCTAATACAGCTTTGTCCCTCGCAATGGAAGAAAATTTGTCTTTTAGTGCAGTTACGGAGCTTGAATCGCCACCGTACGTACGAGTTGGTAGAGCTGAATTCCCCGTTAAGGCCCTGTATGAACTTCCACTTAAAAAACGGTTTGAACTTGTTCCCTAAAATTATTAAAAAAAAATATTGTTTACAATTTTGAAATATTTTAATATATATGATACTTACTAAAGTAGTAGGACGTTCTGGAGCCGATGTATAACTTTGACTCGGAGATCTCCATGGTGGCTATTAATAAATAAATTAAACATCTTTGATTATAACAAAACAAAAACAAATAATATAAATACAATAATTTAATTAGATTACTTACCCGTGAGTTTCTATACGACGAAGTCATGATTACATTTGCATATTATCAAGACGTATAGCTACAGTACGACTGCTGGATATGAAATGTCAACAACGCAATGTGCACCGGAGTATTGAATGCGGGCCAACTCCACGTCCACTGATCCCGTAATGGTTATTTTTATATTTAACTAAAAGTGCCTAGTGCGAACTTGAAGCCAAATGCGATTTAAAAACACGAAAATGATACATATGTAGAACTTGTGGAACTAAAATTGGGCAATTGCTAAAGAAATGCTTCGATTAAAAATTAAAATTTAATTTTAAATAAAAATAATATTTGATGATTTTCTATTAATTATTTTCTGAATACAAAAATAAAAATCATTTATACTAAAAAATTATTGTTTTTATAAAATAATTAAATGATTAAATATTAACATGGCATATTATTAATTTTAAGTGTAAAGTTTAGGATAAACAGTGTAATGTTCTGTTTAGATGTACCTACACAGCTACAGACTTCAGTGGACAGTGACTATAAACCGAGAACTAGGAAAAGCGAACACAGTCTGTGTGTCTGGTAGACGTTAAATTACATTATGGTCCATTTAGGCTGCATTTGTAGAAATTTGGCACACAAGCAATCTGTCTATTATGAATCTCTTCTATCCCCGGACCAACATATATCCGTCCGAGAATACAATATGTTCTGTTCCGCAGTAGAAACTGCCAAAACACCATAATTACTGTACAACTACGCATTTTTCTAGCCAAAATGTATTTAATATGATATGTATACTTTTCATTTTTTTCTTGTATTTACCGTAAATTATATTTTCAAAATGAATACATATATTAAAAATGATTTATTTTGATTGTAATTTGCAGATGTATGAGTTTAAAAAACAAAATAACCGTGATGTACCAGCTATAAAAAAATAATAACACACGAATAAAAGAAAATTAATGCACTTAATATATTTTTCAAAAGCTCCAACTGTATTATAGGTTCTAAATTGTATTTAAACATTTTAAACCTACAACTAACAACACAAATACCTATACCAATTTTTTATTACGTATATAAGAATAAACTACGAATTGTAAAATGTATTGTATTAATTCTAATGAATTCTCATACGTATCCAATAAGTTATATCAATATTGAATTTATTCAAACTTATGTAGGTATATCTAAAAATATTATTTTAAAATCTTAAAGCCAAGAAATATCTATCACTCATTGTATAATCATAAATCATAATACATACAGATACAGTGACTTTATGGTATCAAAATGTATATTTCTTACAGTTAACAACACATAAGATAGTCATATTCAAATTATATTTATGAAACCAAGATATATGTTTCTAAATGTCGTATAACCAATAATATACCTAATCACATTAATACATTTGAAATATATTCACGCAATGTGACTATATTTTAATAAAAATAAATATATTTCATATGCCTTGGACATCTTTTGTTTAGCAATTTATTTAATTTTTAGTTTTCAAACTTATCGAGTCTAGATAAGATATGACTTATAATATAATTTGAATATGACTGTCGTATGTGTTGTTAACTGTAAGATATATACATTTTGATACCATAAAGTCACTGTATGTATTATGATTTAAGATTATACAATGAGTGATAGGTATTTCTTGACTTTAAGTTTTTAAAATAATATTTTTAGATATACCTACATAAGTTTGAATAAATTAAATATTGATATAACTCATTGGATACGTATGAGAATTCATTAGAATTAATACAATACATTTTACAATTCGTAGTTTATTCTTATATACGTAATAAAAAATTGGTATAGGTATTTGTGATGTTAGTTGTAGGTTTAAAATGTTTAAATGCAATTTAGTACAAACAATACTTGGAACTCGACACAGTATAATGCTATTGTGAGTAATTAAATAAACAATGAATATTCTTTAATAATCATAAACCTAATATATTTAACTCATTATATATTTATTATTTATAAAATAATTAGGTGTATCTATCAGTTATATAAAATAAGTAATAAATACAATTTTTTATATTTATAAATTATAATGTTTATTAGTTATTACACCATTGTATTTATTACATACTTATCACTGATAAGTTATTAGTTACTATAGCATAATATTAGTACTGAAATCTTTTATATAATAATATTTAATTTTATGTTTTTCCATGATACCATCAAAATGATGAGAACGAACGCCTCGCACATGACTGGAGGGGAAAATGTTTATTACGTATAAATGTATAATATTGTATGTTAAGATGTGAAAAATAAAATAAAATTAATGAATAATACTATTTTATATTTATTTTACATGATTACATCAAATATTTATCAATTTTTCAAATTACCAATTATTTATATGTGCCTAAAATATATTTTATTATAATTTGCTATACTCGCAGAAATCCGATTTAAATTAAACACCTTTTTTGTACTTATACGACTATACCTACCTATTATAAAAAAGTATCAGTTTTACTAGTTAATGTTTAATATAATATTTAATATGTGAAAAGCATTTGATACATTTCCATTTATATCACCCACTCACTATTGAATTGATTACAAGTAACCTACACTAGAATTGTTTTGAATGACTGCACAATTATCTTTTATTCGGAGAATAAAACATTAATCTACCTCTTTCACTTCGCTCCTTAACATTGAAAATTGAATAGGTGTTACCAACAACGGGATCTAAACTTAAATAGTAATAGCTAATGAATTAGAAAATTAATTTTGTGATCACTTACATAAATATAAAATATTGTTCGAAGATTAATTACGTACGAATTAAAAAAGTAAAATGTTATATTATTGCTCATAATTTATTATAAATAAGTAGTATTATATCATAATACAATAATCTTTGTAATTGTACTGTTTTATTTAAGAACCCTGTGTGTTTAGTTTAGATATCATTAAAAATAAACTTTAAAAGCAAGCTACTAATAGAAAATATATTTTAAAACCGCTAATAAAAGCGTGACATGTTAAACACCTTACTTAAACTACGCCAGTCATAACTCGTAAGCCTCTGTAAAATTATCGTTGATTATAAATTTTATTTTTGACAAAAACTTTTCAAGAATATATATTTATTTGAATTTGATTAAAAACGTATAACTATGTTATCAGTAGATATTGTACTTTTAAAGATTTTATCTAAAATGATGTATTATGTTAAGATGTTATCACTAACACAAATATTTCTAACTAGGTTAAAATATCCAGTAGGTGCACATAATATACACATTAGGTTTAGTCGTTTAGATTGATATCATACTGGGCCGAGACATTTGGAATGTAAATAAGTGTTAAACTATAGATATATATATAGAACAGAAATCATAAGAATCCCACTGTTGAATAATTTAGATTTAAATACCTATACATCAAATATTTACCACTATTTAATAGATTTAAATTTGCTGGATAAATGTTTATCGGTGGTAATATTATATTGTAATAAAATACAAGGTAAGTAACTAACAAAATCAAAAACTATTATTGCAAAAATTGTCACATGCACAGACACCCAAAAGACCAAAAAAGCTGGTAAGTGGGTGACTCTCTTTTGTACTATAGGTTACAAATGGGACACTGTAATGGATGGTGTTAAATTTGAATCCAATGATATAATAACGAAAAACGATTCTGAGCGGAGGCGGTTTGTCAGCTTAGAATATTTTATATTATATTTATTATTTTTTATTGTTACTATTATCACGGTAGCCGGTAAGTTGAAGTAATATTATTTGCATATAATAAATACCTTCCAAAAATATTTTTGAATTACAATACAAAACTAAAATCATTATTCTTTGTTTAAATATCTAATTTCGTCCAAATTTAAAAAAACTACAAAAAAACTGTGAATATATATTTTTAAGATTTTCTGGTTACGATATTAACTGCTTGCGTAGAATCTTATACTAAATTTTCAAATAGTAGTTCCAAATAAAACATTTTTATGAATTTTTAACTCAAAATAATTTACAAATTTTCGATTTTGTCAAACCAATTTTGCATAAGAGTTCCCGTTTTTCCTTAATTTTTTTTCCTCCTGTGCTTTTGAAAACTGCCTGGAATTTTATTTTTACCTTCGAATGCACTAACTAGATTCAAATTTCAATCAAAAAAGAGATACTTAAGTTGAAAATTGGAGGATTATTTTGACTATAATTGTGTACAAAGACACAAAAATAAACACACATCATTGTAAAATCAATAAATTCATCGCTCCGCTCAGAATCTAAAATTACCTCATATAGTAGTTATGAACTTGATAATATCAGCTTTCAATTCTTTCAAAATTGTGTTATAATATTTATTATTCATATTGTTATTCAACAAAACATAATTTTATATAATTTATAACCACAATTATTATTTATTCAACATATTTATTATAATACATAATAATTATATAATAATAGAGTAGGTATCTCTTGTTATTCTAAAACATTCAAACGCCTTCTCAACAGAATATAGGCAACAGAAACTGCATAATTTCAATATTGTGATTTGTGTTTACAAAACACTATTAAGATTAAGACATTTTGATAGTGATTATTATAAATTAGAATAATTACATTGGTGCAACTAGAGGGATTGGAAAAGCGTCTTTATAGCCCTTGTTGTTTAGGTCTATGTCTAACTATAATTATTATAATGAAATACCTTCGCTTATTAGTTATTTTGACGAAATGGCCTAAATAGGATAGACAATTTTCACAGTCAATGTTTGTATTTTAAGTGTACAACAACATACGTACCAGTGATATAGATATTAGGTGAAAAATAAAAGTTGAGTGTGTTAAGTTACGAATACGCTTCAACTAATCGTTTTAACGTTGGGTTGGAAAAAAAAATATCAGTTATAAAATTTGTCAGTGAATTAAATATTTATTTTAAATCAAAAACTAAATTTAAGTCACAATATAAAATTAAAACAAACTTACGTTTAAACATTGACTCTTCCGGTGAAACCTATCTGTGCCATATTTAGAGCATAACCTAAATAATTATAATATTGTCCACATTATTAATGCCTCTATATCTTATCTACAACTTGCACCATATCTACTGTTTTGTTTTACAGAGCGTAGAATGATATTTTAGAGTGAAATTATTTTTTAAAATTAGAATTATCTACAATATTATCATATAATAATGGTAATAAATCTTTGAATAAATTATTAAAATTAAAAATGCATTTATTTGTATAGTCTTATAGCCGTATGGGCAATGTTAATAATTCATCGTAAATAAAGACTA